GAAGGCGTCAGTCAAATTTTAAAAAGTTAATTATCGAATACTTTTACCGTCAGTCGAGTGGTCGTCCCGTACGGCGATACATCATCCCCGCGAGAGAATATAAATCACCAGGTGATTGATAGTGGTGTATATCTCACGCTCGTTGGCTAGCTTCTTTTTTAATCCGACACAAATGATTTTACACTTTGATTCCTTTTTCTGGCGCATTTCGCTTCAAAGTTTACGAGTCTTCGAATTGGAGCTAAACATTTAATGTATTCTGAGCATTCAGTGGTGTGATGTGTCTTGCTTTATACATTCATATCTAAAGATATGATTATACTTGTATTTAACGTAACAAATACTTTCATGGCACCTCACAATAGATCACTGGGGTCCGGATATTACAATAGACTTTCAAACCGCCGTCCATAATTATGTGAAACTCAATATCATCAACCATTAAATATTCAGTGTAAAGCTAATATTTGTAGTGAAAACCTATCAAGTTTCTAACAACCGTAGAACCCTATGGCACGGCATTACCTGCCCTGGCGGCCCGGCTACCTTTTCGAAGCAGATTAGTGCTATTCTCTATTGTAGCGCACCCTGATTCACATGCAAATCGTAGGACAAAACGTGCGGAAATATAATTAGCTTACAACCGACGCCCCGGTCCACCGACAGGTCCCGGGGGTCACGCACCTTGACCATGCAAAATCGGAACCGGTCTATGCCATGTCTTCGATTTTAATTAATGTTTTCGTTCGGGCGTTAACTCCTGACCAACGTCCGAAGGGTCAGCCGTAAGCAGATCGGGTGTGTTAGGGGTTTTTCGCGACTAAAACGTGGGAACGCACCGGCACGGACGGCCGATGGTATCTTTATGTCGGCCGCGGCTAGCAAGACTCAGTTTTCCCAGAATGAGCACCATTAACTTTGGCCCTGGAGCGTCGTACGAAACATGTCACAGTTATTATGCTCACTAGAAATGATAATATCTTTCGGCTGTGACGCAGCAGACAAAGTGGCCATCTACGTAGCATGCGAGTTGTTCCCCGCACCGGTACTGATTCTTGACTCGATTAAGTCATTAAATTAACCTGTGAAGACGTTAGAAAAGTCCTGATTATCCTATTCCTCCATCTCAAAGAAGTTACGTATCACAGCGTAGGACTATAATTAGGAGTGGACATAAGAACGGACGTTACATTTCTCACGGTAGTGGTGAATGTTTGCCGAACTAGACTGGTCTAATCCAAACAAACCCATCCTCACGGTCAGTTGGCCAACAATGACCACACCTGGGTCAGTACGCGAATCGACACCCTCCTCAAAACTGTGCACATATCCTTTTGACATATTCTTTGTTAGCCGAAGGCGTGTATAGGGGCTTCCATTTCTTTAAAAATAATAAGTGAAGCAAACATTGCCATAATTTGCGACCCCTGGGAATGCAAATTCATAGATGATGCTTATGACACATTTTGTGGGCTGCATTGTGCGAGCATTTTGTATGGTTTCCGTTGTATACAAAAATAAAAGAATTTCACACTCGGATTAATGAAATGTATAGTTATGACAGTAATAGCAGGAGATAACTTTGGAAGTTAGTGAGAAACGTTTTATAACTAAACAACTATAAGGAAATAACAGAAAACGTTTAAATAACGGAGCGATATATTTTAAGCGTTAAAATTTTAACTTGTTTTGAAAAATAATTTCCAATATTTTTTCATATTAATATCAACCAACGTTCCTTTATAACTTCTTTCTATTAAAATTCATTCGTCGGTGCTATCTCCATTTCCCGCCTAACGAAAATTGATTAAAATTCGCCGAACGCCCGAAGGGTGTTATCGGATGCGGCGGAATCTTTCTAAATGACCGGTATATCACAAAAACTTATTAAGATACTCCAAACAATGAAGACCGTGATTGATGCGACCTAAACAAAAGGTGGAAGCTATTGTTCAGTCCTGTGACGAGAACCGGGGTCGTTGTCTAGTTACTTTTATGCAGTTATTAAATAATAAACCAGTTTCTGTGATGTGGTTAATTAATCAATCGGTATGTACGCATTGTTTACAGATTATTAATTATTGTTATAGGGGTTCAAATATATTCAATAATTATATTTTTTTAAATCTGGCTGTTTTTACCTAGTATTTTTCGTAGTCTGAAATGTAGAAAAGGGTGATATTACAAAAGAGATAAACAATATCAGATTAAACTTGCAACAGCAATATGAAATAATAGGTGGTAGCTCACCCGGAGCAATGGACCCTTTGAAGCTCTAAAACGTTTAGAAACATCACAAAACAATGTGGAGAGAAAAAAACAACATTACAAAAGAAGCGTCGACGCTCGTAATCTTGACCAGATCTACAAGTCCGATATCTAAGACGATTATGCTGCGACAAAGAGGCACACTTACTTTTTTCTCTTCTATTAACAGTTAATCTCGGATAAAAAGGAGCCTGGAGTTCGCACCTTTCTTTTGTTTGTTGACAGCAAACAAATCGTTTGTTGGACAAAATATGAGGGCTCGAGGTCGAGTAGACCTAATGGGGTGCTTAAGGGTTGAATTGAAGCAGCGGGTTACTTGTCCTTTCCGGTGGCTGGCCTTTGCATATCAGCGGGATGTACAAAGGGACGCTATAATACTAATGACCTATTCGCAAAGGTGTGCCGTGAAATCCGTGAGGTTATTTTGGACTCGTTATATGGAAGCGAATTCAGCGACGAACGGTACAAAAGAGTAGGTTAGTTACTCCTGTGACGTATTTTCACATTTTCATTGTCATATATTCAAAAACGAACTACCGACAAACAATAGATTTCTGTAGCCGTTTTGGGTAAGTGCTGTAGTTTAATTTGGTACATAACATAGAACAGTATATAAGGTATAAGTAAGAGTTTAAAATATATAGTTATTTTATAAATATATCTGCCAATGAAAATGCTGCGGCAAGATACAATTGTGCTAAATAAAACGAAAAGTTTCAAGAAAACTATAGCTATCAAACAGAGGAGAATTATTCTAACACCATATTTAAACAATTATCATCCCAGTGGGGTTCCAACATTATGGGCCTGTTATATTCCTGCCTCCTCTAAGATCTCCGCTTCCTCTACGTACCCGGGAAACCGCTACTAGCTTGTGTTATCCTTTATGTTATGATTTTCGTTTGTAGACAAAATATTTATCTTTCATATAGCATTAGTATTTTTTTTTCTAATATACATATATGCATATTATTTCACTAAAACAATATGTATACGAATAGTTTCTTTCGACATCCACAAGCAGTAGGTTGCGCCACAACCGATATGGTAATTAACTGTGCCTGATAATGGACATTCAACCGGTGACAATATCATCAACAGGTTTATTTATAACTTGTCGTAAACTTGCGTTTTCATTAAAGTTTCCATGACTTTTAATGATATCATTGTTTACTTCAAAACTTAATACAGTCGCTAAGACTATTATTTTCATGTACCTTGGACAAATGCAATTTCTCCATAGTAAAAGTCCTTGTTTCACCACAAAAACTTTAAAACAAAATATTGCGCTATATAGCGCAAGTATATACTTTGGTAAATAATTAGCTTAAGCCGCAAAAATAGAGAAAAGAGTTCTTTGTTAAAGAAGAACCGATGACCACATAATTTTTCATTTTTAGTAACAAGTCAGTCAAGCAAGCGTTAATTCCCAGCTAAGTAATTCAGAACGAAGTTTGCAATACGAAACAGCCTTCCAAAAATTAATTTTGTTTGAGTACTGCAACATCCTTTAATTCATTTAAACCTTTAAGTTTGAGTATCCAAGGATGACGATTCAAATTAGTAATAGTTTATTTAGCCGCAAACAGTAACAGTTGTAATACCTACTCGCCTATCAGTAGTTTCCCAAAAATCATTGAATATCTAGAATACATCTTTATAGGAGATAAACCCTTGTGTGCTAACTTAACTATTGCGAGTGTAATATTTGATGGCAAATCTAATATTCCAATAGAATTCTAGGTAGTAACAACTTCATAAGTTTGAAGATCTGACAAGTTGCAATCATTATGCAAAAGATATCGTAAGTTAGGCTCAAAATGGCCAAAAAATTCGAGGCCAACTCAAAAATCACCGTCAATATCATCAATCACTAGGCTGTCTCTAAAACAATAACCGTCTATATTAATTCCACCATAGCAATAACCTATTGCGGCTCATAACTTTATATTAACATAGATCGTCAACAGCTACTTAGAGCAGTGCCCTTGGGCAGTTGTCGGACTAATGACTCGACAAGATGAATGGTTTTACTAATTACACTCGCGACAATCAATGCATCTTTTAAGTGAGCTTTTGGTAGCAGTAGGCACATATTATAATACGTAGCTCGCCATATGATTATGGTGCCAAAGAATGTTATACATCTATGATGTCACTTTTTTCATTGTCATTCACTATCTTTGCAATGGTTTTTTACATGCTCTTTATGAGAGCCAATAAACATTCAAGAATTTGGCTGCGGAGGAATGAGTCAACATTTCACATATGAAATCGAGAGAACTACGTATTGCTGTATTTCATCTACAGCGTGACATTAAGTTTAGGATACACTCAAAATTTGACGTAATGTTGCACAGCCTTTCAGAGACGTTAAAATTCTGGGAAGCAATTAAATCAGACGTTACGACGAAATTAAGCTCGTTGCGCGGTAACGTTAAGGCTATAATATTAAAACTTATATTACATAGTACTTACAGAGTAGCGCAAAGTACCGGTGGACAAAAAAGAAAACTTTAGTAACACGGGTTTCAAATGTCTCAATATAGGCATGAATTTTACAATTTATAATTTGTCTTAAACAGTTAGTACAAGCGACAATGTTAGTAAAATTTTCTTTTGGATCATTGAGATTTTATAAATTTTATTAATCAAATTTTCATTTGCATCAAGATTCTTATGTTGATCATCAAAGTCAGTGATTGATTCGTAAGAGTTGTCTATGAACTCACCTTCTCTCCTCATGCCCATTTTGAGACATTTTCTGAGTCGACAGTACTGGCACTGGTTTCTATGGTGCTGGTCAATGGGGCAGTTCCTATTTCCCCGGCAAGAGTAAGTCAGATTTCTTCTCACGGACCTCTTGAAAAATGATTTGCATCCTGTAGAAGAAATTTTACATATGAACATAATATAAAAAGAAATCCAACAAATATATTGCGATTAAGATAATTATATATTGACCGATCTATTGAGGTTTTTATTTCAATTTATTAAGGAAGATGGATTGTTTACTATTTTGTCTGTAAAAATTTTTGATAGACCAATAATATGGTCCATGACAGTAGTAATCACTTGTTAGTTAAACTTGTTAATATGTTTAAAGCCATTAGCATAATCCCATATATCAATGGCTACTAGATACCGATAATTTGACGATTCATATGGAAGCATCGGATCGAAACGTATCTATGGAACAGTTAAAATACCAACTTAACGATCTAAAGACAGTTAAAACCACTCTCATGAATATATTATACGTAAACATCAGAATAAGAAACAATTTGCGTTTGACGACCAGTCTACATATTGTCAACTTAGTTGAACTACGTGATTCTTATGTAAAATACATAAGGTAGAAAGTAGGTTGACAGAAATTTTAGCAAAGAATCAGCAAAGTTTGTGACTATTCAAAGATTTTGATTTTCATTAGAAAAAATATGGCATCGGGTTCGCTGTAAATTATCGAAGGAAGGTAATATGCGTGTCGTAAAAATGTAATCGTTTATGGGGGTTTGTCACGCTTAAAAGGGAATATTAGTTTTTTGGTAATGTATCTGTATTGGTAGCTTCCTATATCTTGTTTAGTAATTGGTCTGATTATTCAGAATGGCCAGTGAAGCCGTGGGAGGTGCTATCGAATACAATATCGTCGTTAAATGGATAAGATATAGGCTGTTACGATTTAAATATTCAAATACTATTGGTGATAGAAGTGCTGAGTATGTCATTCAGTTTTCTAATTTGTAAGTTGAGGTTTACAATTCGTCGTTGAGGTCATTGTAAATTAAATATAAAAACCATCGGGAATAAATGAAATTTAATATTTAATTTATTCCCGTTTATATTTAGTATGCCTAGCTAGGGATTGCCTACGATTGTGATTTTCTTGACTCCACAAAACATTTTATTTTTTACCGCTAAAGCGTAACGAACGAATTATTACAACAGAATTATTAAAATGTAAAATTACATCAACAATTTGGTTTGAAAACCTTGCTTCTAATATATTTGCTTCATATACATTTTTACAACTGAAGAATATTTTATTTTCTAGTGAAATGAAATTTTTCCATCGCCTATCATGATCTTTAAAGGCGACGTGCAGACTCCGAAACATATGTTTAGTTCGCGAGCAAACAGCAAGAAACCAAAAACACATGAATATCGCGAGATCTTCAGTGGCACTCAAACTGTTTTCAAAATAATGAGCTTAGCTACGTACAAACGCGACAAAGGCAGGATATTTCCGTGGCGCGTCTCTCTGTACCGTTATGCTTGCGCTCACGTGCGAGGAGATAAGATGAAGCTAGGCCGCAGCCGCATAAGGCGGGACGAGAGATATTTTAAATCCTTAACAAAGCCTTTATGCAACTTTTTTGCTTATAATAACACAAATAATATGAACTTCGATAGTATAAGCGTAAAATGCACCGCAGCGCTCGTTCAAGTTTTATTTTACTGTGACTTTTACAGTGACAGTTAATATTAAAGTAAGTTGATGCAACTCACGCTAAGTATATTATTTAGCGCGTTAGCGGCTGCAACATAGTTTTATACTTCAGCAGCTTCTAATGTACACATGTTTTATGTAATGTGTCTTTTCGTTAATAAAGATTTATTATTATTATTATTTATTTATTAATTATTTTTTTAAGCACAAATGTACAACGGGGACTTAATGCCGTAGGCATTCTTTACCAGTCAACCATAGGATGTTGTGGAGATTATTAGTGGTAGGGTGCACAAGTGAGGTGTAACAAATCCTGTTTCAAGTTAATACTTTTAACACACCTTTTTGCTTATACATACAACATCAAATAAAAAATTATTGTGGCTCGATTTCAGTAATGAAAGGATACGCCATTCGTCTCATTGGCATTGATATAGATTGATAGAGCATGAGAGAGATGAGAACATATTACAAATAGAGCACCAAAAAGACAAATAATAAAATAGAAAAAAATGAGTTACTAAAAAAGGCAATAAATACTAATAGACTCCATATAAATCTATGGGCTCTTTTGCATTGCTTTTTATTCTTCCTACCCACGCTAAAATGTTCGGTCACTGAACAAAGTGGTATGATAAGTAAATTGATAAGTCATCTTATAAGTGTGTGTGATTTGTGCATTTGAAAAAGTATAATTATATAATGCATGTGCAATTAGTTTTAAAATTGCAATCATGGAGTTACTTACAGTAAGTTAGTAAGTATTCTCATGGTAAATGAACTTTGTGTTTTTATGAGAATAAATTCTTTAAACCTAAATAGAGTACCATCGTACTCACCTATTTTTGTTTCACCTATATTCTTCAAGTCCTCGATTGCACTTAGAGCAACATCTAGCTTTAAGAAACATTGCAAAAAACTAGCTCAACAATAAGAAAATTGGAGAGCTTTTTATAATTCCGTCTTTAATGGGGTTTTAGAAAATATTACGAAAAATATAACCTAAAGAAGCTGTAGAGAATTGCCAAGGTATCATAACGTTTTCAATATCGTCCCTAAATATTCCGAAATCCGTTTGACGTCATCATTCACTTATTAATGCCCCGCCGCTGGGGCACATATCTTCCCTTTGGATTGGAGACTGGGCCAATGATCCACTACCCGGACACAGTGTGAATTTATCATCATCAGCCTATTAATGTTCCCACTGCTGGGGCACAGGCCTTTTCTGTGGATGGATTAGGAAGATTAGATCATGATCTACCACACGGCCCCAGTGCGGGTTGGTGGGTGCTAAGGGGCCGTCCATTAATCACGTGATGTTTTTTATTAACAAAAATTAACAAACAATTTCAGTGCAATTATTTCTTAAACCAATACCGTTGTCGACATTTTTGTAAGATTTAGTTTTTTGAAGTGTTTTGTCATATTTAAGATTTTTCCTATCAAAATTGTTATTGTGTTCTCGTTGTCTTTGTGTCTTACAATATTATTTTGTGAATTGCTAAAATACTATCTATAAACCCATTGAGTCTGAAATAATAGCCTTCTTTTTCCATCCCAATAGCTCTCCGTTTCAAATACTATAAATTACCTCAAATAAATTGAAAAGGTAACACAACCTTACATCCTAAATAATACACTTGTGAAAAATGCAGCTTTCCTAAAAGATCGAGATTAGGCATGAATTCGATAACAGCAAAAATTATAGCTGATTGCTCTGCAGCAATGAGACGACCTCCGTGGCAGAGTGGTTTGTACGCCGGGTTTCATAGTGTCGCCGACTCGAGAAGTCGGGTTCCAATCTCGGTGGGGGCAGATGTTTGTGTGATGAATGCATTTGTACTCCAGTCATGGATGTTTAATATGTATTTCTATATAAATATACTTCTATATGTACAATATATGTATTCTATCCGTTACCCTAGTATCCCATAACACAAGCCTTATAGTGCTTACTTTGGGGCTAGGCTAATTTGTGTGTGTGTTGGAAATATTTATTTATTATTATAATGTTTTTTGTGACACTTTATGAAACCGATAACTAAACAATAGTAAGATGCCTTTACACCTATATGATTTCAGTATTTATAAACTTACAAAAGCTTACTATCTTCTTCCTAGTAATTTAATCGAGATATAATGCAACCTTTTACCGCATGCGTGGACACGATACTATGCAATGATTTATTGACCATCAAAGAGATATTGCACAAAGTTAACTAACTTGGATTATGTATACAAATGAACTGTCTGATAACCTGACATGTATACAACGTTTTATAAATTTATGAATTAAATTGGGAGACTTACTACATTTTCATTGGCTGTTATGTAGAATTCCTTATATTTTATAACCAGTGCTTATTTAGGTATAACATGGTAGAAGCCAACAGTAAATTCAATTAAAAAAAATATATAAATTTATTTGTAACCATTTTCTATAGTTTGGAAATTTACCTTATCACCCTGATTCTATCACATGATGCATTTCGATATTTATATAAGTACATCAAATTCTGAAGTTTGTAAACGTATTTCAGATAAAGAATAAATATATTTATTTGAAGCAGAAAATCTGCTATGTCGTTCCTCTTTTAAATATAAGGAAAGTATTTCATTTTACAGATAGTATAAATAACCATTAGATGCTCCGTTAGCTATATACATAAGGTAGTTATCTAAAAGATTCGGATGAAAATGTCGCTATAGATTTCATACATTGTATTAATAAAGTCTAATTACATATTGAGCAAATTTGACATTATGTGTTAACCTAGATTTGGTGTTGCCAGTACCGATATCTATTAGAGTGGCGACCTAGATATTGCAAGTCGTTTTGTAAAGTTATAATTAAGGTACTCAATGGTCATTCTCCACTAATAGATATTACACAAATTGATGTGTCTACCACTGTGGTCGAGGCTGCTGTATAATGTACGGACTGCCTTAGGTTGGGAAGGTTAACTTACTGTGTCACTTTAACCGCAGAATAGAAAATTAGTTGCGAGAGACGTACGTGCCCTTACCCACAGAACACAGAAAGAGGTAAGAAGTGTGACAACCGTTTGTACAGAAACCGATGTCGCCGGCTTGCCCCCACTGCTATTCCAACTTATAGATAATAGCCAATCAAATGACGCGATAGCAAACAATCGAACCAATCAGCACTCACAACCCAGAGCAACGACGCAATCAGAACCAAGATTTAGTCAAGTTATGAGCTATTGCTCACACATAACTGTGTGCTCCCTATTCCATCCATAGGGAAGGACTTTGCCCCAGCAGTGGGGACATTAATAGGCTCATGATGATGAACTGTGGCGCGCCTGCCCCTCCCATATGGCCCTTCTGACCTCTTTCTGTGTTCTGTGCCCCTACCCCTCAGACAAGAACCAAAGCATAGAAGTAATACAATGACGTTTAAAA